ATATTTCCATAAGTTATATTTTCTTGTAAATTATTGTTACCACTATTAATCGTTACTTCCTGTCTTGTAGTCTGGCATTTCAGTAAATATCTTTCAATTTTGCCTTTATAAGCCACTACTCGATCTTGATACTCTTGACTTTGTATAATTTCACTCTCTAATTCATCGCTTTTATCAAAATAATTTTCAATTTTCAAATCAAGATCCTTTAAAGTTCCGTTTTTTTCAACTAACTGATTTAGTGAATCATACAAGGTCTCATCAGGAAGTATTTCTAATAACAATTTGTCAATTTTATTTATTAATTTTGTAATCAGCTGTCTGATTACAACCCGTTTGGACTTTAATTTTTCAAAATCATCCATTATAAACAGCTCGCACGTTACTATAATAAATACAATACAATTAATACAATAAAATATCAAAATAAATTACCGACTTAAGGGAGACCAAAACAAAACAAATGTTAACTCATATTTCATGCAGGTGGCCTATTTTTCGGCCGGTGTAGCACCATAACTCGAATTCAACAATAATTACACAAATTGAAATGATTCAAATTATTTTATTCCACTGTGGTTCAGTAGGTTAAATCTAAACTGAAACTTAAGAAGTGCAGAAAAAAAATAATAAAAAAAATTGTTTGTGCTCAGCTCCATCTGGTATTATAAATCCTCAACAAGTATAGACGTCTTAAAGATATCTATGATAGACGTAATATGGCTAATAAACACAATTATGTTAACAAATACAAACGATTATGTCGGAGCTATAACAAAAAAATACGCTTTATATTTCATTTAATGCAGAAGAATCTAATGAAGATCAGCTTATTTGAAATTTTGAAATGTGACACCCATATATAACTTGGTGAATGATAGATACGTGATACCGAAAACAAAACAAAAACATAAGCACACAGCTGTTTGGCGATTTGCGAAACGCTCCTTCAACGCCGATAGATATTTTCGCCAACCCCTTTACAATCTACGGTATGTTTTGTCAATACGCAGACGGGAATACCTTTAAGCGTAACACACAAACGGGAAAACGAAAGGATTCCGTTCACAAACGCAAGCATGAAGCCCGTCCCTCACTGAAGTACCAAAGTGATTGAGAGAATTGAACCCTACCGAAGAGCAATGATGCAGCTTACAATCTCCTTCAAACACCATTGTACCAATCTGAATATGTTAATATTGATCTCGATTGGCTGTTCAATGTCTATTCAGTCATCAAAAGAATTTACACGTAATGTGACTGAGCTGCATTCAAATATGTCAGCGAAGTTGTGTACCCAGCAGTTCAGGATTAACAGTTAAAGATGTCCAAGGTGAAAACTCAAGAAAGTTGCTTTTCCAAAAAAAATTAGACAACAACCATTTTGCCATTTCGATCAGTTGGTTTTACTTAATTCAAGTTTAACAGTTGATAATTCTTGAACTAACAATCGAATTTTTTTTATTTCCATCGAACTCTTAGTATATTTTTCTACACACCTTCATAATTTCAAGTCTCTACGTCTTTTAGTTTTTGCGCAATAAAATAAAATGTAACGTAAGAAAAGTGAGAAAAATTTGTAAACGGAAGCTCTTAAAATTGTATTAACTTTCGAATAAATTTAAATTTTACAAAAAATCTCGAGTCAGGTCCATAAATAAAAATGGCCCTTGAAGCATGTTAAATTTCAAATCTGTAGTTGATTCCTGCTGCCCGCATATCTTCTTTCCTACAAGTTTAATAGTTAATAACAATTGAATTAACAACCGAGTGCTGAATTTTCTTATTCCATTGTCCCCGTACATTTTTCTACACTCTTTGGTTACTTCAAGTTTCTAAGTCTTATAATTTTTGTTCATCAAAACAAAATGTAACGTTAAGCTGAACACTCAAAACAGATTCAGTGCTTACGATTTTTAGATATGGTAATTTCAGTTTCTTTTGTAAGCATCGCTCAACTTATCCACGGAAAAAAAAATGACAAAACTTGCCCGGTACCCGATTTTATCCGACTAGTGGAGTAAGACCAGGTGCACGTGTAAACTCCATGGGAAATTTTGAAATACTTGAATTTCAGTGAAAAAGTAGCGGGCGTTTTTATTTTAAATGACAATTTAAGAATATAATGCATGTAACTTACATGTTACTATTTGTAGCCAGAAATTCAATTTTAGAATATTTTTCAAAACAAAAAACACTTAGGTTGTCACTGCCATCATTCACTGAGATCTCCAAAATAGGCAATAAATAGGCCAAACAATAGCTAATAACTAACAATAAGCTAAAATGTAGGAAATAAATAAAATAACAGTAGACCGAAATTGGTAATAAACTAATACGGTGCAAATAAACCAGTCTACGTTTCCCAAAACAGCCTAAATTTTTAAAAATGTCACTTAAAATTTTCTTCTATAATCTCTTTATTTATTGTCAAAATATGATATAATAGATTATCTAAAAAATAGGAGACAAAATGGACTATGGTTAAAAATCAAAATAAAGTTTTAAAAAAAATTTAAAAACTACTGTGGTTTATGATTTGAAAACAAAATTGATTCTTTTTTATGAATATTTCAAATAAAATATTTAAAAAATATACTAAATTGTGAAACCTTATTGGCAAAAATTGAAAAACCTGTAAAAACTAATTTTGCTTCCTTTCAATTGTTTTCAACTTAAATAACATTATTTATCATCCAATTTAGACAAATTTTTATTAATTTTTTTCCGAATCTATTTTAAAATAATAACATTTAATTGACTTAAGACAAATGTGCGCAAATGTACTATTCGATCAATAGTAATAGTATTTTTTTTTTAATTGTAGCTTATGCTGAAAATATAGTCTGTATAAAGGAGGTGTCTATGAGCTATCTGACTCAAGCATTATGTTATACAGAAGCTTCAGCTCTCACTACTGCTTATAAAAATGAGCATACTCTGACAGCTGAACAAAGTGCATGCATGTGAGTACAGATTACTTTTTATTCATAAAATATAAATTAAGCAAAAAATAATCTTGCAAAACCATAAATAATAGTCTATTGAAGGATTATCTACGCACACCCAAAATAAATATTGTCTTCGTGGGGGACTTTTTGATGAAACTAACTCTCATTTGCGTTACATGGAGAGGAAAACCACGAAAACCTCCCCGGGTTTGTCTGACGGCAAGGGGGCTCAAACCCATAATTCGTCTACAATTTGAGGACATTTTTACGTCAGCACTGTGGTTGGTGCAAGCCGGGTGCGGAATTCGTATTAACCAGTTATCACTGAGATGTGAACTCGGTTCACCTCATAGGGAGGTGAACGCTCTATCCCCTGAATCATCACGGCACAAAAAAAATCTATTCAATGGTTTACTGACTTCTATTCTTCAATAAATAATTTCCAAAAATTTTATGAATTTTCAACAAAACATTTTCCTTATTAAATCCAAGTTGCTCTCTGAATTGCAAAGTTTTGTTACACTAAACCAAAAATTTATTAAATTCATCATTAATAAAAATGTATACAAAACTCGCATACTTTTTTTTTTTTTTTTTAAATGATTGCGCCCAGCAAACTATGCTATAATATTTTTAAAATTATGTAAACTGGTTAGGGATAATCTAGAAAAAACTGAAACAATAGGAAAAAAAACTCAATTTAAAAAATACACTTTTTATCTCCAAAAAGTTTCGCAACAATTAATAATTTTTAAAGTGAACAGTCGTCTTTCAAACTTTTTAAAATCTGGTTTTAAAAATTTGACCATTTACAGTGCACTGATTTAGACAACACAGAGAGGCACTTACCTTGCTTCTCTTTAAGATCTGGAAATCTTTCAGAGATAACTTTTGAATTCCAGAATCTGATTAAGCCCAACTTAAAACATTATTTATGCGCACCAAACTTAAGTTCGATAGCTAAATTCCTGTTATATTTTAGAATACAGTCGTCATATTTATGTAAGTTTACCACTTTTTTGGATCAAAAACTTGAGCAGTTTTCATGAAATTTAATACTGGTATATGAAACTTGGGTCCGCATAAAATTGAAAACAAAGATTAAGTTAAATGGGGAAAAAAAACCTTTAAAACAAGTTTATCTGGTAATACAAGTTTATCATGTTTATAATGTTTTGCGGATATCAGGGGTAATTGTTACACAAAGTGAAAAACCCTGAAAATTTGATGTGCGAAAACTCTATATCCATTTATATACCGTATATGCTTTATGTTTAACATAATTTTTTGAACTGAGATAATTTTTTGAACTTTTTTACACTTAAGTTACCTACCAATAATGAATACGTTTATCGTAACTAATTAAAAAAGAATTTGCTTTTACAAAAATCAAGATGTGGGATTTTTAAGTCTAGTGAATATGAATCGCGATATTGGATCTAAAAATCACGTGAATATGAATTATGATTTTTAAAAAACACAAAAATAACTTAAAAAATATAGAACTTTTAACTTGCGTGAATACGAATCGCAATGCATGACTTTTAGATCAAGTGAATACGAATAGTAATGCGTTGCTTTTAAGTTACGAATAAATACAAAAATCGATGTTATATATTACAAACCAGTGAATACGAATCCCAATATTGTATTTAAAAAAAACGTGAATACGAATCGCAATATTGGATTTTAAAAACGCGTGAATACGAATCGCAATATTGGATTTTAAAAACGCGTGAATACGAAACGAAATATTGATTTTAAAAACGCGTAAATACAAATCACTAGATTGGATTTTCAATTCGTGTGAATACGAATCGCAACGTGTAACTTTTAATCAGGTAAATATTAAAATCAATGTTCAATATTAAAATCGCGTGATTATGAATCGCGATACTAGCCGTTTCCATAGCGCAGTTCCAAATATTCAAAATGGCGAAAATCCGCCAGATGGAGGAAGAATCAAGTATGCAAACTTCTCGTTAATTAGATTTAGCAAAAGCATCAAAATTTACATTTAAGATTGCGAAACTCCGGGAATAATTTTTCGGATTATAAGTTCTTGATTTACAGTCCGCTAACAAACGGTCTTGAGTTTCTCGAAAAAAATCATATGCAGTATTTTTAGTTTTTAGCATTGGAAGGATGGTACGAAAATCCGGAAATTTAGGGTACACCCGGAAAACAAAATACCCCTGGAATATTCCGCTATTAAGCGAACAATTGCAAATTATGCAGTTTTTCACATCTTTGCACAAGTAATAGCTCCCTATAAGGAGAACAAAGCAATGATTTAACGTTAGTTATTAGAAGTGGGCATTGATTTAAAATCTAAATATAAAAAGGAACCATCCTTTTCAGGTTAACAGCGCACGTATTTGCTTGCACCACCGGAGAGATTCTCCAGGATTGCGGTGAAGAGGCCCGCGCAACAGCTGTTGAGTTCGTAAAGAGAACGAAACTGTTAAAATACGCAATCTGCACATTGGAAGATGTAGAGGAACTCAAATCAACTTATCTAAACTTCTTGGAGCAAGAAACGGAAAAGCGAAACATTTTCTCACTAGCATTTGACTTGAGAAAAAAATAATTTCTTTACACACTAAAATGAAGCGTTTTGTTAAAAAAATAAAAGAGGATATTCTTGGTTCAAACTAAGTATTAATTCAATATTCATAATGAGAAAATTAAATGCATGATTCTTTTAAAAAAAGAAATAAACTACTTGCATAGTTGTCAAAGTGTTTTTTGAATATTATTTTAAAATGTATTTGTGAAAAAATACAGCAGCATGACAGTGCAAGATTCCTTCTCACCGATTCCAGCTCAGTTTAAACACTTACAGACCTGTAATATATAAATATAATTTTAATTAAACTTGTTGAATAATTTGCACTCTCATATTTTACCGCCCGATGGTACACAGAAAAGGATTTTGGGTGAATGAATTGTGAAACGTTAAAAGGAATACCTTGAAAACCGCGCTTTTTGCGTAATTTGTGACGAAAATCTACATGGTAAAGAAAAAAAATCTTATTTTGGAAAAGGAAATTTCCGCACTTTTTAAAAACACCTAACAAAAAATCACCTTTAATGGCTTTTGGAAAACGAAAATCAAAAACAAGCGTCTTAAGGGCTTCTCATCACCATTAAAGATAGGGATCACCATTAAAAAAGGGACATAATCACCATTAAAGATATAGGAAAATATGCAATAAATTTTAAAAAAGGCTTTTGTAAGCTAATAAAATATGATTTGCTTAAAAGAAAGAGCTTCTATTAAACAGACTGCAGCAAAGAATTCACAGTCAGTTAAAATACACATACTAAAATTTTTTATCATAAAAAAACGAAATTGGTGCTATTTAAATGAAATTTTATAATTTAAATCACAAATTTTTCGATTTTTTAATTTCTTTTCTGAAAAATAAATTACCTAAATAAAGTCTACCTAATACTGATAAATCATTAAATTTTAACCTCTTTCTGAAACACTAAGTTTACTGAAGAGTATTTTCTCTCTTTTGAGAAAAAAAAAAACACTAGTTTTTAATAATTGTGTAAAAGCAAAAAACAATTAATTCCAAAAATAAAAAAATGAACACTAGGCATAACATATTTCTAATATTAAAGTTTGATATAATTAAAATATTTTACCCACAAACCTTTAAAATTTAGAATGAAAAAGCACTATTCCCCTTTGAAGAGTCATAAAAAGTCACCAAACTACTATTGACACCAATGGTTTTTCGAAGTTCTTTGGCCAAGGAAAATAAAGAAATCACAGATTATGTGTCTTACAGTTGAAGCAAAACAATCATCTTAAAAGAAGAACGGCTTTTGAATGGAGAAATAACATAAATATTATCAAAGTTTTTAAAAAATCGGCGACATTTGGAAAAATGATAACATTTTTCCACTTCGATAAAAATTATCAAAATCACTGTCTTATTTTCAATTTTTTCAAATATTTATTAGCCGAGATAATACAGCATTAGAGTAAGTTTTTAAATATTAAAAAATTAGATCACAAACGCAATTTATTTTCACAGAATTGCGGCTTTTCTCAATATTGACATTTTGCACCTTTTTCAGAATAAGCATGGAGATAGCTGGCGATAGATAAGATAAACTTGACCAAACAATCATGAGTAGCTGTTGTAAACTCACAACAATTTAGTTGTGAGTTTACAACAGCTTATTTGTATTGTGAGTTTACAGCTTGTTGTTATTAACTCACACTTAATTTAGTTGTGATAAGTACTTAATGTAAAAAAGTAGGTACTATGGAGAAAGGATTTTTACAGGTCCCCGAAAATAAATAGTACTAATGAAAATTTACTTTTCTTGCATTTATTACTTATGAATTAATAAACTTAACATAAAAATTTAATAAATAATAGCAAATATATGAAAAAATAACTTTTATAAAAAGGGGTATTTTTATTCGCAGAATTTAATTAATTGTGTTCAAAATAACGTGATTTTAAAAAATACTTTTTCGTTTAATTTCATTTAGTGAAATTGATAATGATATAAAAAGTCAATTTACATTATTATCAATTTCATTAAATAAAATTGTAATAATTCATTTATGATACATTTTTTTGTTTAATGTCAATTCACACATTCACCTTCTGAATCTTGCAGAAAAATTATGGCAGAAGACTATTATGGCCCCATGTCCTACCTACCAGGCTATCCCGCCCTTCAAATTCATACATAATTACATTAAACTGCAAACTATGAACCCTTTGCATAAATAGAACTTTCATAATGAAACTGAAAGAGTCACATTCTCATACTTCGATAAATTCTGTAAACTAGATCAATAATTTTCTGTTACTCTTTAACTTTTATATTTTTATTAATATTTTCGACAATTCAGGGGCCAAGTTAAAAGGCTTTGGAGGCCATGGGATACAGGTTTTGCAGCGTAGTATAGTACAATAGTTGACACAAGAGTTTTTTTGTTTTTCGAGTTAGGTTTCCACATAGCGAAGATATAAAAGTAAACCTAAATTCACTATGTGGTGCAACGTTTCTTCAATAAAATTAAACACTCATTACATACCCGCATAATTTATTGATTAGAAAAATGCTTTTGTAATCTTTTTATTCCTAGTTGTAATGTTTCAAATCTGTAGTAATAACTTTGTTCCAATTTATCATAACTTGGGTCTCTCATAAAATTGTATAAAAACTCCAATACGTAGGGGAAAAAAACAACTTTTTTATTGTATGTGCATAAAAAAGTAACAATCTGTATAAAAATAGCAATGTATAAAAGTCCCATATAAAAATAAAAGTTCAAAGACACATTACACAGTAAATATATCACAAGAGAGTAAAGGCACTTTAAAACCATAACCAAATTCATATGGTCCACATAATCTATCTCTATTACAACAGTAATACATAATATAAGTAGTTGAAATGGTTGGCTATCAAAATTGTAATAATTTTTCGATAGAAAGTAATAATAAAGGGATAAAAAACAGAAAAAGTTTCAGCACACTTAAAACATTTGAAATAATATACAGTGTTTAGACTTTAATTACTTAAATCATAAAAACAACGAAAAAAATTTAAGTTTGAATAGCATTCTAGTTGGTATACTACCTGACATCAAATTTTTAAATTTTAAGACTTTTTAAATAGGTATAAAAATGACATATTTTTGAATAGATATAACTCTTAAAACGAAGCAAGTCAACAAACAGAACGAAAACTTTAGTTTTTTAGATATGTATTTTGATGTTTTGATATATTTTATTGTAAACAGCATATTAAAAACTGACCAACACATATATTATAATCACAACAAGATGATAAAAAAATACATAGTTTCAATCTATTTTAATGTAATTGTTGTTCTAAAGTTAAAAAATAATATCTCTCAACATGATGCAACTGCTCATTAAATATGAATTATCATGCAAGAGTAAAACAATTAAAATAGCTCAAAAAGGTACAACCTATAGAAATATAAGAGAGAGATGTAAAATCCATCTGAGATTCCCTCGTTTTCAAACAAATAAAAAGACATTATTTTCCAAGAGTTGTGAACACTTCATAATCGATGACCGTGAAGTTGTAGTCGCCCATCAGCAGAGTGCAGGAAGCATTTTCTCCGTCATAAGAATGCGGCAAGTTGGAGTAACTTTCCAGATTTGCATTACAATTATGTGAAATGCAGAAGTCAGCCCCAGCACCAAATATAGGACCATAACTGGAATAAATATTGTTTTGGTAATCAATGCCTTAAAAATAATTAATATTTACAACGTAAACATGTGGAATAAAAAAAAACTAAAACATTGGTCTTTTATGAAATTTTAACTAAATTTTGTAGCCTGCGTATTAGAGTGATTAATTTCATTTAAGATAACAGCAAAAATGAAATCAGCGTTCTGGTTTAGGCATCATTTGGTTGAAGCACACTAGTTGGTGCTAGAAAACTTCCAAGTTTCCATGATTTTGAACCTTCTCGCAATACTATTGAAGACAGAAGGTTGAATAGTGAGCCTCAAATCTGAGATCTTAAAAAATCAACCAGCTTCAACTAAGATTTGTTCTTGTTACTCAGCTCCAGCCCTGGTGAGCTTGCACTGATTTATCGGATACGATATGACTCGGAGCTAAGGACATGGCCAGGTAATAGTCGAACATACAGATCGACCAACAGCCTGCTGTATAGCTTTTTAAAACTAAGATGAAGGATTTTCAGGTAAATACTTTCATTCCTATTCATTTGAGAGTATTGTTATTTTTTTTTTCTAAATAATTTATAACTGCTCTCGTCCTGCTATCATAAGAACTCTTCCAGATTAGCATGCTCTCTGTTACTATGGCTATACAGAAAAGTCCCTTTAAATATGTGTGTGCAGTTAGTTGTTTTTTAAATAAAGTTTATAAGCATAAAATAAATTGCTTTTTTATGAATACTAATAATATTGCAGAAAACAAAATGAAAATAAAATAATGTTCCCAGATTATGCATGTACTAGCCAACTTTCCATATATTTTGATAACTGAGTGTTATTTTTTATGTAGTGGCAACATGGCAAAACTAAATAACAAAACTGTAGGCCTCTTTTTTACATTGCTAACTAAACATTTAAAAATGGAGTAGACAATTTTATTTTCCACAGTTTGGGGTTGCACAAAAAATTGTTTTTATTTGCCTTCTATTGAAACTGAGTTAAAAAGAAATTCACTTTGCCATAAAATTTTGCAAACGTTTAGGTAAAACAGTTTTAGAAACAGTTAATTAACGGTACAGTTAATTCCCCTCTAAGTCCAGATCTCACCCCATGTGATTTCTGGCAGTTTTTGATCCTGAAGGAGAAACTCAATGGTAGAAAATTTAATATAGGTACTCTTCCTATTACAACTTTGAAAAATAAAACAAAGAAATACTATAGACCATTCATAGTAATTGAGGAGCTATCTTAATAGGCAATATATTTGAAAGAGAAGAGTACAGTGTGTATTTTTCTTTAGTAAAAAATTCTGAGTTTTTGAAAATTAACTTTTTACATAAAGCCTGCTCACAAAACTTTCTTATTACAGCAGGGGATATAGCAGAAAACCTAGGGTGCAACAGATTAAATTCAAATAGACCTCCATAGATTAGAAAAAACACTGGGAAACTTGAAAGGTCGTTAACTAAATTAATAGAATTTTTCAAAATATAGATTAACCCCAAAAAATACAATTTTGAAAATAAGAAGCAGTGTTGAATGAGTGATTTGAATTTTAAATGTGTAGAGTGAGAAACTTTTGGTTAATGTCCTGATTTTGGACTCATTTTTTGTGTTCTTTAAGTCGAAGTTTAAAGGTACATTTAGTTTGATAAATACCCTAGCTCTTAAATATTTGTGAAATTTAATCTACTTACAGGTGGGAGTGAATTTAACTAATTTTTTTTCAAAATCTGTGCAAGAGCCACATCAAATCAATTTAAGAACTGATTTTCAGATAATAGGGAAAACAATCAAATTGCTAAAGTTTGATTTGGAGAGTTTGGTAGACTGTGAGATTAATTTTCTATAGGTAGAATCAATAATATTAGAAAGAAATCCACCATATAACTTTAAGGGAATTTTGTTCATCATTGAAGAGATAACTACTTGAGCTAATTTTAGAAGCACGGTAAACAAGTGTGGGTAAGTTAGCTGGTTGGGAGGATGGAATATGAGAAGAGAGTGAAACTGCAAATGGTTTTCAATACAGATTAGTGAGAAATTACGATTAATAAGAACGTCTAAGAAAGGTATATACTTATTATTTTCCTGCTCAAACATAAATTGTATAAAAGGATCCATGATAACATGATCAATGTTAGCATTGTCAATCTATGCAAACAATTGAGAGATATTACTTATAAAAATGGAATTTTAATAAAGTAGTGCATTTAGAGGTCACTTAAGAAAGTGCAGAGAGGATTACCCATAGCTAAGCCATCGATCATTTGATAAAATTTACCATTAAAAGTGAAGGTGGGCTGTTCTAAACAAACACGAGTAAGATTTACTAGTTCATCAATTTCAACTTGGCTGAAGTGGAATTCTTATAATCTTTTTTTAAAGCAATTAAGGGGAACATTAGTGAACAAAGATTTTAAATAAAGAGATAATTTTCTTATTATTAGGTTTGTGAACGTATGAAGCTCATTAACAAAAATTATACAAGTTTCTGACAGTAAATGAATTAATAAGAATATGTGGCAACAAATTTGAAACATGATGCTTAGCTTATATATAGGAAGTGGTCACAATATTCGAAACAATCTGTCTGAAAAGAGTGTCACCCTTATGAATTTTAAGTAAAGCATTAAACCTAAAGCACCGTGGGAATTAGTAGGTGTAAGAGAATTAATTTATGTGTTTAGAGTCTAAACATTCATAATTACTCTAAATTTGCTACTCAAAACATAAATTAATTCTTAAAAAGAAATCAAATAAATTTCTCAATTCTAAAAATTCTCCTGGAGCTATTTCTTAACCACCAACCTGTTAACTAAAATTCTAATGTCAATCTCTATTGCGTTATGCTAAATAATAATTAACTCAATGCGCCTATATTAAATAACAACCTTAGTCTACCCTCCCAACCCTCAATACCTAAGATGATTGCTCTTATTGAAAGATAAATATTTATTAAATAACTATTGAAAGAGACTGAATTAAAATCTTTGATGTCAAACGCAGATATTATTATTACCAAATCCGATACAGGGTGGGGGAGGGGGAATTGTAGTGCTAGACAGAGATAAATATCTAGACGAATCTCAAAAATTAAATAAAGGTCTATATATATTATTATCTAAAGATCCAAGTGTTAATGATTTTGAATAAAATAAAATCTGCTGTTAAAACTTCAGTAATTATTCCTAATATTGAAAATATTTTCTTACACCAACTAATCCACACTATGCTCTAGGTTATTATGCTTTATCTAAAATTTCCTTTTAGATATATTGTTTTTAATATTGGCACAATTTCTTATAAATTAGCTAAGTATCTGGTTTCAATTTCGTCCAAACATCCAGTATGACTTCATTTACTGCCAGAAACTTGTATGATTTTGTTAACGAGCTTCATACGTTCAAACCTAATGATAACAAAAGGATCTTATTTCTATGTAAAATCCTTATTCACTAATCACAATAATTATCCACTATGCCCTTAATAGCCTTAAAAAAAGATTACAAGAATGCCACTTCAGCCAAGTTGAAATTGACGAAATAGTAAATCTTACATTTGTTTAGAACAGTCCACTTTCACCTTTAAAAGTATATTTTATTGAATGATTGATGGCTAAATAGTTGCCTTTATATGCACAGCTTCGAAGTGAAACTCTTTGATTTATTAAAATTCCTTTTTTATAAAGCATATGTCACAATTGCTTTCCATTAATGGATAATGCTAACATTGATCATATTTTCAATATTATGAATTCAATAGTTCGTTGCATACAATTTGCGTTTGAACAGAAAAATAATAAATATTTACTTCCTTGAGATGTTTTTATTACTCATTACTGCGATAAATTTCTCACTACTGTTTATTGAAAACCATTTGCGGTTTCATTCCATCCTCACAACCAAAAGTTAGCTGCCTTACATGCACTTGTTTAAATAGCTCGACTCAATTATGAGCTGAGTAACCGTAAAGCAATCAATTAGAACACAGTTTTCCTTCTGTTATTGATTCCACCAATCTCTCCAAATCAAACTTTAACAGTTTCATCATCAATTTGAATATAAATTCATTTTCCTCCTATAAATAAACTAAATTAGATGCGGACTTAAGGAACATGATAGATAGATCTGTTGTTAAAAAATCATCAATTGCTACCCATTGTCGACTGTTATTTACTTTTTATATATTTTTTTAATCAATCACGTAATATCTTACTGCTTCAGTTTCACTACTTAAAAAGTAGTATGCATTTTTTACCGAAAATTAAATTGTTATTACTGACAGCAAAATTTTAATAATATTCAAAGAAATAAATTACTTAACCTAATCAAAAACATCGAATTTTAAGCATTTTTAACAATAAGATTTTTCTGGTAACTTAAGATATAATAGATAAAGTTTTATAAAAATGTGTATTTTTATAATTATTAAATACCCAAACATTTTTTTCCCTTTAGTTCAGATAAAATTCTTAAATAAAAAGTTTTTTTTTTTAAATGGAAATCTATCAATTCTGTTATTTTTTTCATAATGCTGTCCTAGTCATTTCTGTCTTGCAAGCTTATTAAATTAGCAAAACAATTAGCAAGAAAATTATAACAAAATTAACAAAAAAATTACAACAAGCAAAAAAATTATAAATGTACAGAAGCATTTTCTTATGGCATTTATAAAAAGTTGATTAAAACTAGTGGTTAAACATAAACACAGAACAAAGAATAAAGAGTACAAATAAAGTAATAAAAATGGAAAATACGGAGACTTAAATATCCAGTTATGATACAAAATGTGATCTCTAATATATTGCATAATAGTTGCAAGTTTAAAAAAAAGAGCAAATTGCAATGTTATCAAGCAAAATAATTTTTGCCTAGCAAATGAGCCAATCTTTAAGTTATCTAACATTACCACCATTCTCAACATAAATATACACCTATTAAGCTAAATATTGGTAGAATAATAAGACAGAAAAGGGAGACTAGCAAACTATTTTTTATTGATGAAGAACTTTGAAAACGTTGGATTTCTTGTAAATTAAAAAAGAACTTTAATGTCCTGATTGTTGATCATCTTAACGACTTAGTTAAACATCTGAATAAAATTTATTTCATTGGTAATACTTATTAAGTTCCCAAGCATACATTACTTAAGTAAAAAGAATTTTTTTTTCAAACTTTCCTTGGGCACTAATGTAAAGTTTATTAAAGCCGGTCTAACATATTTTAATAACATTCTTATTGAATGACAGAATGATAAATTCTTTAGACACAAATTCCGTAATTTAATATCACTATTGCCCTCCTTTAACTTAATTATTTTGATTGAGAAATATTGAAAACAAAAAATTCATAATTTACAAGTAAAAATTACAGACATTTTAATAATAAGTGCACTAAACATAAAAAACGGAATAAAAAATTTCATACTTTTTCAGAACACTACTCATGTTGGAAATTTTTAGTATTTTTAATGTTTGGAACCATTCAAGGGAGAGATTTTGTTATATTATAAATATGTAAAAAATTTTACTCACTCTGGGTGATGTGCAATAGCAAACATTTTCTTAACAACATCAAACTTGGTTGGAGGAACATCAGAATTATTGATGAGTGTGAAAAGGAATGCCTTATCAGATGGAACATATCGGCCACGCCCTCTAGTTTTACCCCAAGGAACATCACTAAATCCTCCACACAATTCTCCATGGGAGCCCTAAAACAGAAATTTAAATTACACTAATTTCATTAATATCCTATAAAAAGTACATGGTTGTCATGAGTGATAAAGTCAGTAAATTATGTACTGATAAAAATGGCGATTTTAGTTTAACCCTTTGACGCAGATGGGACGCACGAGTGTTCCTTTCATATATTTCTTTTCTGATGCACTAATTACAAACAAAAATACATTTTGGAATTCTTTAATAATAAAAAACAGTTTAATAATAACCAAAAAAAATATTTGTTATAGTATTGGAATTATATATATAAAAAAAAGTAGTTTGAATTTTTTCCCCCTTCACATCCAAAAATTTATCGCACATTGATTTAGTTAATTAAAGAAATTTTAAAGTCGAGTAAATGTTTCTCTTAGATCTAAATAACTGCAAAATTATTATTTGGAAGTGAGTTGTGTTTGAAAGAAACTTTTAATGGAGAAAAAGACACTGGTATTCCATGTTGTATTTCCTAATCATTAATCATCAAAATGCTAAATATAATTTATCACATATTTTAACCTAAATTAATACAAGTTAAAGAAAGAGTATAAAAAATATGCTAAGTAAAAATCTTCCATCAAAGGGTAGATACATGCTACAAGCATCAAATACTAATTTATACAGTTATAAGCCAGGCATTTTCAAATTGATAAATCCGCAAATATTCTTGTAATTCTATGTTCCACGCTGTTGTCCTCCTATTTATAAAAATATAATTAAAACATTTTTCCAAACTTTATAAAATTATTACTTCATATTGAAGTCCGCAAATTTGAAGTGTTTTGAATTTAAAAAATTATGTGTTTAAACAAATAATTCTATGAATAAAATTCCTTTCTAATTGTAAGATTTTTAAATTTTTTTAATGAACTTTGTAAAAACAAGATATCTTTTGGACTATAAGCTTTTACATGCATTCATAATTTGTAAGTTTTGTAAAATTTTACAACTGAATAGCTTAACTCTATAATTACAAATGAAAATTTCAGTCAATTTTGACTATAATTAACGTTTAGTTATACAGTGGAAACTCAATATCATGAAATTTGATGACATGAATTTTTAAATAAAAGAATAAATCTAAATTCCCTTCGCATGTGCTATGTTGCTAATAATGATAATTCCTTTTTAGCTGAATATATTTTTTTGATTGCCCTTGGTTTAACAAAGTACTTCTGATAAACCAAAAAAAATCTATTTCTAATTTCTGTAGAATTTAAACTCTTTCTTAAACTCCTATTCTTAAACATTTCTTTTTTTTTTTTTAATGAATAATTTTATACACTATTTCTTGAATTTCCAGTAAGAAAGAAACTGCCATGTTTGAAAAGAAGGTTACAGCATCCAAATGTATACCACAAGAAACAAGTATGATTTAAATTGAAGTACTGAGAAAATATAAAAAATACAGAAAAAATAAATTTAAAACTAAATAATCTAAAACAGTACAATTATTATTAATAAATTAATTAACAAAAAAATCAAGGTTTATTTCAACATATGCAATTAAATAGGAAAAATCATTATTTCCACATTTTATTAGTCTTTATTTTTTGTTTTTAATCAAAAGAAAATATTATATTTCTTTTTAATTGCTTTAAAAACTGTTAAAGTAGCATGCACAGTTAGATCATAAGCAAGTATTTACAATTACTTTCTGACAATTCTAAGGATAAGTGAAAAGACAAAATAGTTACACAACAAGCATAAGAGAGATGTTTACTAAAATTAAAGAAACTAACACCTTTTTTAAATATGATTTTTTTAAAGCTTTAAACATAGGTTTGGATTTAATGGCAAAAGTGCAGAATATCAAGATGACATTAGGTCATAAAGGTTAAAAATATAAATAAATAGTCATAAAAATTACTACAGCACCAAAGAAACTTAAAATCCGTAATTAAAAAAAATTTCTAAATCAAAATTGAAAATGTCTGATCACATCATGAATTCAGTAGCTACAGCCAGCAGCTATTATAAATTAAGGTAAGAGAAGTGCACTATGAATTCCAAATAATTGATAGATTAGTTTGCATGAAAGCATTTAAAGTGAATGCAAAATAGTGCTATAAGGCGGATGTTCTCAGAACACTCAATCATATAATTTTCTGTGGCCAAAGGAACCATGACGCAGAAATTTATTATGAAATGTTTGTTGTTTATACTGAACAATGTCTGAGATAAAACAAACGTGTAAGTTTTCTTGACAGGCGTTTTATGAATAACAGATCCACCATGACTTGTGCAAGAAAATTTTATGATCACCTATGAATCCATTGTTGTGGTAAATGAAGATTTAAGATAATCAAAGAATTACAGCTCCTGTCATCTTGGCAGCATTTTGACATGAGCAAAGGAATAGATTAATCACCATCTGAAAATCTTCACATTGTTCTATTCTGGACACATCTTTCTTAGATGAACTTTACATTCATATTAAATACTTTCATGCAAACTGGTTAATCAGTTACATGCTACTGAATAATTTCTAATGCTATTAAACCTGTTCACTTTTCATTTGATTATCCCTTATATTAACTAGCATTATTTTAAACTTCCATGCGATATTCCATGCATGAAACTGATTTTTCTTTAAACAATTCAATAAGGATCAGGTGCTTGTTAAAGGAAACTATATACAAACTGCACCAAAGTAAAAGGATAAGAAGAGCATCAAAGAAATGTCACGAAACATAATTCACTCATCAAAATATCAGACATAATTTTTCGCAACTGAAAAAAAAAAATTTCATAATACTTAAAAAAATAATTAAGAAAATTACCAATTCAGTTTTTCAAAATACAAAGACAAATCTATGTAGCTTGCTTTAAAAAATAAAAATTAATGTTTGTATTCACAACAAATGAATAGTTATTTAAGTGCCAAAATTAAGTTAAATTTACATTATATGCATAAAAGTGAAGCAATTAAAGTTGATAATAAACTATTAAGTGTAGTTAAACAAAAATTTAAGTATTGTTTTTAAATCGATAAGGTTTTTAAATTCTGACAATAGTATTTTACATACATATATCATCAAGGAAATAAACAAGATATGAAAAATTTCTGAATATGAATTGTCATTATAATTAAATAGTGTTGAAAAAGTTACAACCATACAATTACTTTTTTCTAGTTATATGTATTCATTTAAATAAAGTAATCTTCCAAGTTTCTATTCCTAACTCAGTTTGGGTAAGAAACAGGTTTCTTTGCAAAAAAAAAAAAAAAAAAAAAAAAATTTTTTTTGCATTTAATTAATCTTTATTAATGGGAATAATGTAATAAGAAAGAATTTTGTAAAAATTTAATCAAGCAAAAATATACATGAAGATAAGTAATATATTTTTTTTCGTAGTCAAAAAACTTGTTGCATCATTATTTCATTCACTAAATATTGCACAGAGTTATTAAATGTAACTGATATTACACACAGTATTGTGATGCTCCAAGCACTCAATGACCTAGCTGCTCCCCAATGACCAGAGTATAATGGCCACCTAGTGTAGTTTTTTTTCAACTAACCAATTGTGTTTCCCAGGCTAATTGCAGATCAATTAAAGTTTACAATCAACACAATGGCGCATACGTAAGGAGCATCAATTTTGGATACCACATTTCTTGATGTACACCACTTTCTGCTTCATTGGCTTCTTGGAAATTTTGTTATTTACAAACTGTATCATTTTTGTTTAACTTAAAGTAAATTCAGCTGATGTTCCTTTCTTTAGATTTATTACAGATATTCACCATGTCATGAGTCTCCATTATTACGTAAATCATAGTTCAAATAATGAACATACAGTTCAGTTGGTAAACCATTCATATGGGGGTTGGATTACAGTATATTAGTTCTAAAAATTACATACTTTGTCAATTTAAAAAGTGAATAATGTATAATTAATTTAAAATACAGATAATTGAAGGAAAGGTAAACTACAAAATAAACAATCATTAGGAAAAAGAGTGGAAGCTAAACAAATTACAGTAAAAACTTGACTATTAGCAATTGAGAAATCACCAAATTACAGATGAGAATATTTAGGTGCCAAAAATCTCTTATTTTGTACAAATTATGCTGCATCTAAAAAAGTAGTCAACACTTATCTACTATAGAAAATGATAAATGGAGAAAAAATTACAAGAATTGTCCATCATGATTATTAAAGTTGCAGATAAAAAAAATTAAAACTGAAATTTCAAAATGGAAACAAAGCACAAGAGAGGAAAATCATATCTATTTTTATTATTTAATGACAAAATTTTTGTCGTTTCATATGTAAAATATTTACTTGAAAGATAACAATAAAAATTTTTTAATAATTCCAATTACTTTAAATTACAAATACTCAAGCATTAACTGTAATTAAAAAATTTACTATGTATTTACACTACTGATAGTTAAATGCATAAATATCACTGGTGCAATTTAGAAAAAAAAATAATTCCAATAAACATATATATATATAAAAAAAAGAGTAAAAATACAACTACCATTGTAAATAACTAAGATAACAAATTTCTCACCAGAGCTATGACAAATGTGGGACTATGCCCATCACAGTGATAATGAAATGCTTCAGCCGTGTAACCGTGGGTGGATGCTCTGTAAAGGAGACGCCACATTTGCTTCGAATTTCCAAACCAGGCATTGAGCATTCTTTGTAGGTGAAGTTTCTCTCCACTTAACAACTGAGATCCTTGGAAAAGTTTAAGAGATGTCCGAGGCTGAATTCGTTTGTCTTCAGAATGAGAAAATTTATTGGGTAAGGCAGCAAACCGATATCTGTAGAAAATCAACCACATTATCTACTAAGCTTATTAATTTAACAAATATGTTAAAGACTAGACATTTGAGATTAACACTAGACCTGAAAACAAAGTCACTATTTAATACAGATGTGTTTAGTAATATAGGTAACACAAGATAATGAAAGAAATTTTTTTTTTTACAAGAATTACTTAGTAAAGCTTTGTATTACTTCCAAGACTTTACTTTGATTATAATACAAGGCTTTATTTTTGATTAAATTATTTATTTTGATTACATTTCTTTCATTATCTTGTAATATTACAAGGCTAAATAATAAAGATAATGAAAGAAATATAAATCAAACAGCGATAAAAGAGGAAAACAGCAAGGTATAGTACGGCTCTGAGGAGAACTCCAGACAAAATGTCTAGGGCTGTCTGCTACTATGGTAACAAACAAGAGCACATCTCTAATGGGAGTGAAATGGACGGACAAATGTGTCAATTGGTTTTCTCAAGCTGACCAATGCCGGGATTAAGACAAAACTAGCCACCCCACACTCCTATTCGAAGTGTCTTTCCCTCGTAACCATATTCCCTACCATGACACGAGACGGGTGTCTGGAGGAGTTCTCCTGAAAGTCGCACTGTAAGACTTTATTGTATTCAAAAATAAATAAATATTAAATTATGAAAATATAGTTGTTTTAAAAAAGAATTAAAAATAAAAAGGAATAAAATAGAGAAAAATAAATTAAACAAATTAAAATCAATAAAGCATTTAATATCAAAATTCATAATTAATATTTCTGTTTTCTTTCTGTGCTAAAATGTCTTTATTACAACATATGTTTTTCATTAAAAATGAACTAATGTCTGAATATCTCTGGGTTGGTTGTAGCACCTAATAGTAGTTTATTAAAGCAAGAGCTTAAAAACAACTGCATTATAACTGCATGTAAAAATTTATCTGATTTGATGAATAAGACATGGTAAGTATTTTAGAGATTTAAAATGATTTATAAATGAGGCTCTAACATATATTTCAAAGTCAATATATACTTCAGATAAAGTATAAAATCAAGTGTGCTAAATGATAATATTTATTTGATTTTAAATATTAAAAAAATTGCACTTACAAATGGTTTGTTTTTTAACTATATTATCAAATGAAATTTTTATTCACGGAATAAAGAAATTGGGATTGAGATGTCTGTTAAAAACATTTAAGTAAACAACGAATATTAAAATTAAACAAAACATCTTTTAGAGTCTACCATAACAAAAGTAATCTTTAAAAAAAAAAAAAATTTAAATAGATTAACGAAAACGTTCGTTTATTTAAAATATTGATAATGGATTTATCGGACTTGAGTCATAAGCAACTTTTTTTGTCAAACTAAATTATTTTAATTCCTAGAAAGGATCGGAATATTCAATATGGAAACTAATTTTTTATATTTTTTTACTTATAACTTTTATAAAAGATTTGCAAATTTTGTTAGCATATCTTGTCTATCAATTAAGTAGGTATAACTTGTGGATACATAGGATCTTTATATCTTATATTACATAAATATATGTGCCAAAAGCTAATTAGTTATTAATAGTTAATTGTCATTGATGGGACATTGTAATTAAAAAATAGCAAACTTTATTAAATAAACTGAATAAATGATATTAAATCATATAAAACAGGTCAAACCCTGTATTTACAGATCAAAATTAAAAGACACAACTTAAGTCATTCAACATTAAAAGACAAACTAATTTTATTGAATCAACCGAGAAAATGGTTTTAGTAAGTAAGAAATTTTTAAATTTGTACTATTAGTAAATACTTTTATTTAAGGTGAACATTTTTGATCAGTTAAATAATTTTAAAATACAACTAAATGCAATGTAAATGAAAATTGAAACAGTAGCATAGAATTTTTAATTTATTTAGATAAACTAATGAAATGATATTTATGTTATTCAATAGGGAAAATAAAATCCAATAAGAAAATTTTGTACTAATTTGCCAAAGCAGTTGAATATATATATATATATATATATATATACATTTGAATATGTTATAGAGTGAATTTCTCAAGTTGAGCTATTAAAATATGAAAGACAATACATTTTAAAAAAGTTAAAATAATAAAAAAGTAATAAATTCCTGTGAACGAGATTTCAATACAAAAATTACTGTTTAAGAACTAGGATTGGAAAAAACCACTAACTTAATAAAAAGTTGAAAAACACCTAAAACAATCTATACCTAAAAATTATTTAATGGTAAATTACAGTAATTACTACAATAAATATAATAATTTTAAAAACTTATTAGCAATGAAAAATCTAATAAAATATTAAATTCATTTCTATAATGGAAAAAAAAGAATGAATAAAGTTGTTTCAAACATGAACATAAATACAGCTGGCAACACAAAAAGGGATAAATTCTGTAGATTTTACAGAGTTATTTAAATATCATGCCAACTACAGTGAATTCGCGATAACTCGAATCTGATGGGACTGACGAAAAACTTCGACATATCGGAAGTTCGACTTACCGTTAGTTTCGGTTTTGAACTTTCAAAATATTGTCGGATTATTTAATTAATGCTTATTATTTGCAAATCTTCTAATTGCTTACAATATTTAAGATCATTTTTCTGACAAGCCATTTTCGATAAGACTGTTTGAAGCACTTTATGATACCCTGGTCCATCGGCTGCAACTTTGCTGTTGTGTTTGGCGGGAGAAACTGCAAGTTTACTGCTTTCACATTAAGTAGATCACTATGCGCTGTGCATTTATCCATAAAGAGTATCACTTTTCTTTTTTTAGCGAAGAATTTCCGATCCAATTTTCTTACATAGTCTTCAAATAAAACTGATGTCATCCAAAACTTTTTGTTAGACTTGTAATCCAAAGGATACGTTTTTACATTCTTGAAACATCGGGGATTTCGGTATTTTCCGATAACAAGTAAGGGCAATTTCTCTGTCCCAGACGCATTTCCTCCAACTAGGACAGTCAAACGTTCCTTGCTCATTTTACCCCCTGAGCAGTTTTCATCCTTAAACATCATAGTCTTATTTGGAAGACATTTAAAAAATAAACCCATTTCATCAATATTGAAAACATCATTTTAACTGTATCCTTGAAGTAAATTTGGTAACGTTTCATTTAACCACTGTTCACATACTTCAAGAGGGACAGCTTTAGCTTCTCCATGAAGAGTGCGAAAGACATTGTGTGTGTGTTGCAAAGGAAGGGGCAAGATATCAGCTCCTAGGTTTTTTTTCTTGCTTTAAAAGATCCAAAAAAAATCGAGTTAAAGGGAGTAAAATTCGAGTAATCGAGAATAATTAACATGAAATTGAAGATAAAAGGGTCGGGACCTCATAAAAAAATCGAGTTATAGTAATATTCGAGTTATCGTACTTCGAGTTATTTCGAATTGACTGTATTATGCAGTGTTAAAATATTTTAGACAGAGAGAATTTTAGACACATTTATAGTCAATGAAATATAATAAGTATAGTACACTAATAGGCATTATTGCATTTATTGAATTTTAAATTCATAATTTCGAACTGTAATAGACAATGACATTTCAAAATTTTCATTTCAGATAGTTGTAACACACTATTTAACTAATTTAAAAGTAGAGAGTTTTATCACTTTGTTTCATAATTTATATCACTTTATTGCTTGCTTCAGCAATTAAATAAGTAATTACTAAGTTGAATAAAAATATATTTTGATATATTTTTTCGAAATGTTTCAGGGAATTTTCTGAAATATATAAAAAGAGAATTTTCAATAGACAATGACATTTCAAAATTTTCTTTTCAGATAGTTGTAACACACTATTTAACTAATTTAAAAGTAGAGAGTTTTATCACTTTGTTTCATAATTTATATCACTTTATTGCTTGCTTCAGCAATTAAATAAGTAATTACTAAGTTGAATAAAAAATATATTTTGATATTTTTTTTCGAAATGTTTCAGGGAATTTTCTGAAATATATAAAAAGAGAATTTTCAATAATACCAATTGGAAAATTCAGTAAAGTTGGCCCAGATAATTGAAAATTTTAGTTAAATATGAAAATACAAACTGTTGAATCAGATATTATAAAGAATCACAAAATACGATCAATCAAAATAAAATCATTGTATTAACTGTTATTCATTCCTTTTATTATTGTTATGCGTATCATATTCTAAAATTTTTTTTAAAAACAATTATTGCATTTCTAAATTTATTTAAATAGAGTTTTCACTGAGTTTCAGGATAAGTAGAATTTTAAAAACTAATTAGTAATTAAAATTGTTCAGAAGAATGTAACAGAAAATATATTAAACAGACTAAAAAGATGCTTGATAAACTTTTTGAAAGTAGCTTAATCTTTAAAAAAAAGTAAATAACAAAAACACTTTTTATTTTGTTAAAAGTATAATTTACATTACTCAAAACTTTTTTTGAAAATTGTCATTTTAAATTTTATCAAGCTGTAATGTGTACATTTACAAAATACAATTTGATTTTTATGTAACCGTAAAGAAAATTAAAGAGAATTAGTAGGGGTACATGAAATTTTTGTTTAAGTTTCAAAAACTCCAGATAAGCATCTTTTGTAAAAAGGATCAAAGACATCAGTTAACTGTGAAGTATTTAAAAACCAAGTGTCATGAAAAATGATTACTGGCAGATGCTTAATAAAAGCACTGGAATTATAAATACATTATTAATAAAATATTTTATAATTAGAAAGTAAAAAAAAAAATTTTTTTTAATAAAATTTTCTTTTTTAGAAAAAAATCTTCATCGCTTAATGCCCCCCAGAAACTTTAAACTTAAGCGGCAGAAGTAAGATTTTCTATGACTCTATTGTTAATTCTGAATAATTTTTTCGTTTAAAGTTAGAACCACTATTAATGACAATTATAAATAACATTTACTGGACCTATTTGTTGCCTATATTTTTAGGTAAAAATAATGATAATGACTTTTGAATTTTTAACTCACCTGCTTACAATTTGTAATTTTTGAGAACTTGAGAAGCATTTAAACAATGTTTAAATTTTTACACTTCATACAATGACAATTCATTCCCTTTTATAAAAAGTTTTTGTGTGTTAGCAGCAAACTTAGGAATATACATAATTTTCCTAACTAAATACATTTTTAATCAAAGATTCCTTTATTCATTGGTTTTTAACTTAAAAGATTTTTAATCTTAAACATTTTTTAAATAATACAACATAAGGGTAAATAAACTATTATGAATAATTTTATTGATTTTTAATATCACAGTCAAAATCTCAAATTTTAAGAACAAGAACAGAGAGAAAAAAAAATTGCTTCCTTTTAGGGAAAAGAAAACTATCAGTATTCTTTTATTTAAATCAACAATGAAAGAAAAACAATTAAAAGTTGAACACATAAGTTTTTGCTTACATAATAAACAATACAAATGAAATATAGTGTAAAAAAATGAATTTAATAATAACTCTAACAAACAAATACAGTAGAACCTCGATCAATCATTTCTCCTGAGGCCATTCATAGAGAACAATAAATATAAAAAAAAAAACAATGAAAAATGGTCAACATAAATTGTTAAATAATGAAATGAAAACGTCTGAAAAATAAAGAAGTAATACATTTGAAACTTAATTTACAATAAGTATAAAAAAAAACATGTATTAATGCAAAAATATTTGCGTGGCAAAAGAAAGATAAAAAAAAAAACACATTTATTTATTTAAAAAATATGGAAATTTTTTTCTTTTAAAGATTCTCTTCTTTATTAGAGCAAACAATATATTAATGATATTTGTAACAGATTGCTTTTCATTTTCTGTACGTTTGTGTGAATATAGAAAGTTATTAACTAATTCAAAAACCAAGGGGATGATCTGTAAATGTTGCAACTAGTTGTGGTTCCATTTCACAGTCTTCATCAGTATCACTATGTAGTTCTTCAGCTTCTACAATCATTTCTTAGAACCAAATACAAGTTTCAATACAAGTAACAATACAAGTTTCAATATTTATATCAACTGATGCATAAACATCAAACATAATGTTAGAGGAGTTTCCCCAAAACTGTCATCTTCATCATTAGCATCAGGAATGTCTGTTTTCCTTCTCAAAACAGATATAATGAATTTTTTAATGGCAGTAGAATAGTAATAAATGTGGGAATCTGCTAGATTTAAAAATCATGTAAATAGATATTTATAACACTATAAGTAAAACATTTGTGGCAAGAGTGTTAAAACAACAGGACGCATATGAAAAATAAGGGATGCGAGAATGATGAATCAAGGTTTAACTGTAAAATAATTTTTTTTAAATGTTTGTTTACAATTGAAACAAATATAAACAATGTATGAAATATATTTTATGATTAATTCAAAACATGTCAATATATGTCAAAGAGGTAGTAATGCTTCGTTTTTTTCCCCTTCATTCCTAATTTATAGAATCTTAAAGTTTATAGAAAATTATTTAGAAATAGTTATAAAATTTTGAAATTTTAAAACCAATAAAAAATAAGGAGATATTATATACCTTTCTAAAGATAATTCCATTGGCACAGCTCCGGTAGGTTCAACTTCTTCTGCAAAAACTTGGCTATCAATCAGCAAAATTCTAACATGGTTGATTACACCAGACATTTGCTAAAATTTCAAATTTGATAAGATTAAACTCTTAAAACAATTACACAAAAATGCTTCGAATGGCAATATAGCATATCAGGAGGGAATTCTGATACTTTTGTGACAACAAGATTCAGTTGTATTAAAATTTAATTGAATGAAAAATTGCAAAAATCTTAGATGGATCAAATATGGCATAATAAACCAGGATATGTTTCTATACATTAACAGCTTATGCCTGCACAATGGTTTTACTGCAAAAAATTTTAAAATTCAAAATTCCACATCCCAATGACAGATATGAATGATTAGAGTAAAAAATTTATATATTTATATATATATATATATATATATATATATATATATATATATATATATATATATATATATATATATNTATATATATATATATAAAGAGAGAGAGAGAGAGATATAAAATTTTTAGAATAGATGTATTTTTTAGTACTTCTGTTTTGGCTTTATGTAGAAACACTTTAATTTAATAGACTTTATTTTGCCTAAATTTATTTGATATATAACTGTAATATTATAAATGAAATAAAAAAAAATAATTACATCTACTGAAAACAGAAAATAATGGCAACTATTTTATTATCAAAATTGTTAACTAATTAACACATTATAACAATATACCATAAAAAGCAATAATGTACTAAAAAAGATAAAAGTGTATTGAAACAGAAAAAGTTTCTATCCTTTCCCCCTAGGTGGCAGCATGACATTTGAATTTTCTAAATTCAGAAAACTTGAGTTCGTTTTGGAACAATTCAACATTTATATAAAACTGCCACATGACATTAAAGAATAAATAAGAATAAAACAATTTTCCTTAATAGCTAGAAGTTTAAATAGTTTAATTACTGAGAAGCAAAATACAATGATTTATAAATTTTTCGGTAATTAAAGAATTAAAAACAAAATATATTAAGGAAATTTTATTTAACTGAAATAGGACCTATCATATGATTAAATTAATATACTGGTATAAATCACTTAGAAGTATTTTACTTTTAATTTAAGCTAAGAATAATATATCATATTTTAAAAGCAACCTAAACTTTATCCTATATACAACCATACTATAAAGTTGGAATAATTGCAAACAAAGCATATGGTTTTTTTAATCTTGCAAGCATTACCATGCAATCTTAAAGTAGACTAAATATGAAATAAACATATTGAAAAATGCTAAAAAATATGACACATTTAGAATAGGTAATAGAATAACAATAAACAAAGAAAGAAAAAGACCATAGTTTTCTTCCTTTTTAAAAAAAAAAGTTTAGGTCATATTCTAAATTTAAAATGCATTATTGAGAATCCATATAACTAACAGACTTCCTAGCATCTCTTCAGCTAAAATCATAAATTACTTCCCTTAATTATACAATAACTACATTAATTATGTTAAGATACTATACTTGAGTTATTCTAGCTCTCTCCTCTTCTGTCCAATGAGCAGTGGGCTGTGTTACACCAGATTGATGTTTTGCCCAAGCAAGCACAGCTCTCCAGACATCTTCCTCCTCCATGGCTAACTATAGTAAAAATCAGTTACATTAAAATTGGATTAATATATAATTAAATAAATAAAATAATACTAATTTTAGTTATTTTTTTTAAATAAAAATTAATTGTACCGTGCACATGCAAAATGAAAAACTAAATAACTTTTGATCTAATATTTTTGGACACATTTTCACATACTAGGACTCAAGCTAAATGAGAGTTATGAAACGAAACATAAAAACATACTTTCTTTGAATGTCTCACAATCTAGGAAATATGATCCCAATGGTTTGGTCAGGACAGCGACCAATGTCTGGACCTCTTAATGTTACTTTTGGCTTATTTTGTTATATCTTGAGAATTTTATAAGTGAATTGAAAAGTTTTCTCACACAAATATGAAATTAGTTTCTCCAAAAATCATTAATACTAAAAACTGATTTCACAAAAAGATATTAACAAGTCAATTTTCTGAACAATCAATAAAAAAATTAGTTATAGTTAGCCTCAGAAGGACATAACAGACATTACAAAGGGATCTTACGTGTATCATTAAAATTTATTATCTCCTTACTTGAATAATAGAATAAAATTATTCATATATAAAAAGCATGAGAAAAAAATAAAAAGAAGAATAATTTTTACGTAATCAGATGATACAAGATGGATTAATGCTTCTTTTGAAAGATTCAAAAAAGCTGATGTCTGAACACATTCCAAAGCATTTTCACCAATGTATGCAGTACATCTATCAGCAAATGAGCGGCCACCTTTGTTACCTAAAAGAATTTCATTTTTAAATACATAAAACAGAATTATATAAGTAAATTTATCTGAACATATTTACGATTCATTATGGAAGTAATAAATTGATAATTGATGAGTAATGCAAAAAAGTTAGCAATTAGAAAAGGTGACGACTTTCAAAGTTAGATAAGATCACTTGGTTAAAGTAATTAGTCTCCTTGAAAGACTTAAAAATTTTAAGAAAAACTCTTTAGGTGAAATTAAATATTTATAAACATAATGCTATAATGCAAAAATTTCTCAGTTTAAAGACGATTTTTTATTTATTTGAAAACATACAAATTGGCCGAGCGGTTTTATGATTCAAGCAATAAGTAAAACATTTTGCAATTTATGAATTTATTATAAAATATAACTCTTTAAAATCTAAATTAGTTAAGCATTTAATTATTTAAAAATTTACATGATTTTTTGCAAAAAAAAATGTTTTAAGCTTAACTTTTCTTGTTATTTGTTGCATCGTAGAAATTGTTCAGGCACTTTCTATTTTTTATTGATAAAAAGAGTGTTTTGTTAGTAAAATGCCTTCCACTGATACAAAAAAATAAATAAATAAAAATAAACATCTTGTCCAAAACATCATTTCATGGTAGAAAATATAAAACGCATGAAGTGTGTTTTTTAAAAACTAGACAAAAGATGTGTCCAAAATATAAAACTGGTTGACTTCTGTGGTCCAAAACAGAAAACGGACACAAATTTTTTAATCTACTGAATTACACTTCATTATTATTATATCTAGGTAATACAGTAGGGAACCGATTATCCGGAACGATCGGGACCATCACTATTCCGGATAACTGATTTTTCCGGTTTTCTGAATCGCTACAAAAAGCCGTTTTTTTATTGTTAAACCCAACTAAAAAAATAATTATTTGGAAATAATCTTAAAAAGAAGAAAAAACGATGAAGTAATACACTAATAATTATTTCTAAAATGATGGTAAGGTAAACATCTTTAAAAAAAGAAAGAAAAATCATAAAATTTTATGAGGAAAAAAACATTTTTTTTAAAAAATGGCGGGAAAATTTATCGAATTTCGTTCCGGTTTTTTGGTTTTCCGGTTTACTAATTTCCGGATAACGGGTTCTGTACTGTACTAGAATAATAACTGTATTACACTCTGTCTGGTCATCCTAAGCTACCTTATTCTTATCTACCAAATTATACTTAGTTAAATAAATATAATATCTCTTTGATTAAATAAAATCATGATAAAAGAATTAAAATATAAAAATAACAAATTGATGGTTATATTGGAAAAAGCTTGCATATACCAAAAATTTTTGTTGATTTTAGAAAAAAGTAACTTTTAACTGAGAATTGTAGTTAACATGAGAATCTGTGTGGTAACGCTGTGGTAAAATTTTTATATACATTGGCCTACTGCTGATACATTATTTATCACATTCACCTACTTTAAAAAATTAACTTTAAAATATTTGTGTTAACATTTTTAAATGCACTTTTAAGAATACTCTACTGAAGTATCTAATGACTGTAATGAGTTGTAGAATGTTCCAATTCCATTAAAATATGAATAACACAATTTTAACTTCTGAGTGTTTTATAATAAACAACTCTAACGCTTATATATATTTAAAATCCTAATAATAAATGCAATAAAAATATGCACAAGCAAAGCTAAAAACTAACATTTAAAATAGCAAAGTTCAAAGAAGATTTTTAATGTCTGACCATTTCACCATTAAGGTCAAAGATATTAAAATCCTTTTGAATTAATTGAAGACAAAGATTAAATGCAGTTTACAAAAGAAAAGACACAATTCAAGCAAAAGTTGAATGTTTTTAATCTCTCCTCAGTTATTCCTGATCTCAATGATGATTTCTAATTGGCTTGGAAATGTTTTTGTTTTTTCTCTAACTTATATATTAATTTTCAAATGCTAATGGCATAGAATTTTTATTTTACTTTTCACAATTATTCTACAAATCCATATTAAGTGGAGTCTCATAGATACTCTTTTCCCATACATAATCAGATCCACAAATTAAGTTTTAAATTTAAAATAACTATGTAATCGGAGTAATAAATGTAAAAAAAGAAGCATAAATAAAAAAAGAAAACCTGGCACTCTGTTCTCCATTTCTAAAGCTGCAGGTAGAAAGGTACAGGCGTTGTGTACGTTTAAAGTGCTATTGATATGGTCTTCACAACACATTCGAAGCTCTTCTATTCCAAGCTCTTGTGAAATGGACAATGTTTCAAAAACAGTACAATCTTGTAGAATGACCTTCAAAAAAATATCTATTTTCAAGTGTTCAAGAGTACATAACTATTTGCTTGAATATATAATAAACTTAGAAAAATAGTTAATTAAAAATATGTTATGTATATTTTTGAAATATCATTGATGCTCTTATTAGTGAGGTATTTGAAAAGTTGATGTATGAGTTAAATAGACACCCCAGTAGGTGAGCGGGTTGGTCAATTTTTACTGATTTTAGAAAATAGAACTAAAGATTTTATTTATTAAACCTATTCACAAGGTTCTCCAACTATCAAGAAAGAGCCACAGTAGCTCGAAGAATAGAGCGTTCGCCTCCCAATGAGGTGATCCAGAATCGAATCCCAGGGGTGGCTGCTTGATATGAACTCGGCTCCCAGCTCGCACCGACCCCAGTGCTGACGTAAATTAGCCACAGAGGTAGACGAGTTATTTGTTAGATTCCCCCTTGCCATCGGGCTAACCAAGGGAGGTTTTCGTGGTTTTCCTCACCATGCAATGTAAATGCGGGTTAGTTTTTACAAAAAGTTCTTCACTAAACCTAATTTTGTCCCAATGCTTGATCCAGATAAAGTTAACACAGGGTTCCTACACTATTTTGAGAAAACAATATCCTGACTTTTGCAGGTTTTTCCTGACCTTTTACAATAAAATTCCTGACCCGCCAACAAAACTTTTAACATTGCGGTTTCAATTAGAAATAATCTGCTACTTAGTCATAAGTATCATATATTAAATAGGATAAACACTTATATATTAAAGTGGAATTGCATAATAGCACTTTATATCCCAAATTATATTTTCAGAAAACTTGTGAAACATATTTTTAATTATCATGATTAGATCAAACTTTTAGTGTGTTTTTGTAGTTAGATACGAAAACAATTTAAATAAAAAGATAAAGAAAATCTGTTATGGAAAATTATGGAAATATTATTTTATTTATTGTTAAGTGGAACCAAATGCATGAGTGTCGTCAGGATATAAAGGGTTAATCAAATCTGCGAGATATGTATCAGTATCCTCAAATAATATTTACTTTTAAAACATACTAGAACATTTGATATATTAAATTATTAATTTTTAAAAATCAACAATTCACTTCAAACTGACATTTCTTTCAAAAGATAATATTGAAATATAAAGGGGAAAAAAGTCAAGAAAAGTTAATTATATACAAATAAAAATTCAGTTTGAAAAATTGTGCAACTTGTGAGAAAAATAAAATCAAAAATATCTTTCTTTTTTCAGTATTTTTAAATTTATTTCTGTAATACTGTAAGCTTCCGAAGGAACTCAGGGGCTCCTATGTTATATAATATTTCTCAACATATTTTGTTGTTTGACAGTTTCTGAATCAAGAACATCCAGTTCTGTTGCAGCAGTTTTCGTCAATTTAGATTTTCTTAATTTCAAATCATCTATCTTTTCTTTTATTGGTTTTCTAGAAATTTCAGTTTTTTATTCTCTTCGTTTTTCTTTGGCTTCTAATGCATGTTTCCATCTTGTTCTAGATCCTTTTACAGCATCTAGCATTTTCTCATTAATGTCTATGTTTTTTATTCCATTTATAAATGAAACATAATCATACACACGCCTTTGTGAAATAATAGATTCTAGATTGAGGTTTTCAACCAATAAGCTTTTATTGATTGAAAAGAAACCTTCGACTGTTGCGTTACCATGAGAGAGGATAGAACAATTTTTATAACCTCCCACAAATTTTCAAATTTTCTTTTCTCCGTGCAAATATTTCGTAAAAGATTTATCTAAACTCGGTTGCTGTGGATTAAACTTGAAGAAACTCTTTTGCTCTTCCTTTTTTTTTTTTTTTT